AAGGCAAAACAAAGGAGCAGAACTAATTAGAATTGAGTTAAAACAAATTAGGAGAAAAAATAAAACAGAAGGCGGCAAAACACCTTTAACGTTGGCGGCAGAAGTTCTGGAAAAAAATAAAGTAGGTCATTGGTTGGAGACTGTCACGACCCAAACCCCGAACCCAGTCGTGATGATGCCTCTCGCGAAGACAAGGCCAGCCAACTAACCCAACTCGTCTTTTCAAAAATAATTTAAACATGAATAAACAACTAAAATATGACTTAATAATATTAATTAGCGGGATTACAACCCCACACAGCCCTAATCGGGGTGTCACAAGTCATGAGCATCTATAAGAATGTAATTACATTTACAAGTCTAGAAATACACTGAACAGGAATAATGAATAACATAGAAAGAAACGGTGCTGCGAACGCTGGCAGTCACCTGCTAAACTACTACAACTCTGCCACCAACAGCCAATACCCGCTACCGGGTGAATAAATACCTGCAACTCCACAAGGTGCAGGGAGTAAAGTGAGTACTCCAACTCAGTGAGTAATAAAGGTAAATAACAACTGAGTAGTAAGAAATCACGTAAAGCAACCAACATGCTGTATAGAAGCAGGGTACAATCCTTTGAGAAAAACAGTGAAGCTGTGAAAACTTTAGAAATATATTGGCTCAGTTTAAATCCTTTTTGAAAATGATCTTTTCAACAGTTACGAAACGATTTCAAAACAACTGGTGCTGATAAGCACAGAAAAATCCGCCCCTCGGGCACAAATACCGCAGTATAACAGGTAGAAAGGCAAGTAAATATGCAAGATGAGCACATAAAAGTTCGCCCCTCGGGCAATATCTCAAAACAGTACCAGCCCCTCGGGCTCACTCTCAGAAACACTCTCAGAACAGTATCATATAGTAACCGCTGCGGCGTGCAGCCCGATCCACGTCTCGTTGCGGCGTGCAGCCAGATCCATATATTGTCGACGGTGCTCACTGGGGGTGTGTAGACTCCGGGAGGGGCCCCTTACGGCCCAAGCGCAATATCAAGCCACCTCGTGGCATATAACATAAGGCCTGAAAGCCTTCTCACATCACACTCGAGGCCTGAAAGCCTCCTCACATCACACTCGAGGCCTGAAAGCCTCCTCACATCACACTCGAGGCCTGAAAGCCTCCTCACATATGGCCCTCGGCCTCACTCAGTCCAAAAAACATCATAAGCCCCTCAGGCATCAACAACAACTTAAGACATCATGTGATTTCCTTACCCTATGAAGCATAATATAACCTTCGTCAACATCCTCGGTCTCAATTCCCACCAGCCATAACTGATTCACCCGCACGCCTCAAACTGGAACTAGCATAGCACCTAACCGTGCAATCAACTACTCACAGCAGACTCCCCTACTTGGCTCGAAGCCATAGATAAAAATACCCTCAAATAACTCATAACACTTTTACCCTATTGATGCCACAATAACATAGTGATATTAAACTCAAATCATTTATAAGTTGTGAAAACACAGATCATCCCGTACTGTAACTCTTCTGCAATTCTCGCATTCATTCCCGAAACAGTTAAGCCCACTCTCTTAAGCAGCCCGAAATTCCAAATTTCAACACGTACTTTTCACTTGCACATGAGATCTCCTAATATACACATAAGGATCACACCACTTCAGAACACTTCACAGGAGATAACCACCTGCTTCGCTTCACTATAAGATTTCTGTATACCTTCCACCGCCATACACATTACACAACCACTTAGTCTCCCTAAGTCTGAACTTATACCGCAACATGAAATCTACTTCATTCCCAACTAGGAGACACGAAAGATTCTTCACGCGCCCATAACCCGGAGCTACACATCTAATCACAATGGAAATCATACACTTAATAGTTCATCTACCATCCAGCAGACCTCCCTCGTCACTTCCAAGTCACATAGATACATCTCGCAGTACTAATACACTCTTTACATAGCTACCCAGCCGTCACTTCCACTAATAAGGACAATACCAAACATATAAGTTCAAAACACTTATTCACACAATCAGCACGTCGGTGCTCAAGCCATAGGCAAAGATTCGGCCTCAAGTCCTCCAGACTGGCCCAACATCAAACTCACAGAGATCATAACTCGCCCCTTGATCGGGGAATCACAAGCCATCAAGGCACATCTGATATTGAGCGCTCATGCGCGCTTACGAACGCATGGAAGGAATTTCAAGAGTTACTTTTCAAGCTGAATCAAGGACGCACGATAAGATTACAAGAAGGTGAAGTTTTCCTAAAGGTTCTGCAGCCTCTCGAGGATAAATACAGACGTCTCCGTACCGATCCGCGACTCTACTAAACCTGCTCATGACTCGTGAGACCTAGTAACCTAGGCTCTGATACCAACTTGTCACGACCCAAACCCCGAACCCGGTCGTGATAGCGCCTCTCGCGAAGACAAAGCCAGCCAACTAACCCAACTCGTCTTTTCAAAAATAATTTAAACATGAATAAACAGCTAAAATATGACTTAATAATATTAATTAGCGAGATTACAACCCCACACAGCCCTAATCGGGGTGTCACAAGTCATGAGCATCTATAAGAATGTAATTACATTTACAAGTCTAGTAATACACTGAACAGGAATAATGAATAGCATAGAAAGAAACGGTGCTGCGAACGCTGGCAGTCACCTCGCTAAACTACTACAGCTCTGCCACCAAGAGCCAATACCCGCTACCGGGTGAATAAATACCTGCAACTGCACACAAGGTGCAGGGAGTAAAGTGAGTACTCCAACTCAGTGAGTAATAAAGGTAAATAACAACTGAGCAGTAAGAAATCACGTAAAGCAACCAACATGCTGTATAGAAGCAGGGTACAATCCTTTGAGAAAAGCAGCGAAGCTGTGAAATCTTTAGAAATATATTGACTCAGTTTAAATCCTTTTTGAAAATGATCTTTTCAACAGTTACGAAACGATTTCAAAACAGCTGGTGCTGATAAGCATAGAAAAATCCGCCCCTCGGGCACAATATAACAGGTAGAAAGGAAAGTAAATATGCAAGATGAGCACATAAAAGTTCGCCCCTCGGGCAATATCTCAAAACAGTACCAGCCCCCCGGGCTCACTCTTAGAAACACTCTCAGAACAATATCATATAGTAACCGCTGCGGCGTGCAGCCCGATCCACGTCTCGCTGCGGCGTGCAGCCCGATCCATATATCGTCGACGGCGCTCACTGGGGGTGTGCAGACTCCGGGAGGGGCACCTTACGGCCCAAGCGCAATATCAAGCCACCTCGTGGCATATAACATAAGGCCTGAAAGCCTTCTCACATCACACTCGAGGCCTGAAAGCCTCCTCACATCACACTCGAGGCCTGAAAGCCTCCTCACATCACACTCGAGGCCTGAAAGCCTCCTCACATCACACTCGAGGCCTAAAAGCCTCCTCACATCACACTCGAGGCCTGAAAGCCTCCTCACATCACACTCGAGGCCTGAAAGCCTCCTCACATATGGCCCTCGGCCTCACTATCATAAGCCCCTCAGGCATCAATAAAATAGTAGTGCTCAGGCCAAACAACAGTGGAAATATCATTTAAGTCTCAAAGTTCAATTAAAGCGGCTGAGTTTGTAAAACAGTATAATCAACAGGACTGAGTTCAAGTAGTATATCAAAATAGTGAGGAAACAGTGATAAAAATCCCCGAAGGGTTCAGATAATTGGCACGAAGCCCAAATATGGCAATCAGCCAAAATTATGATAATAACAAATAAGTTTCAGTCAAAATACACGGTAAAATCATCAATCGGGACGGACAAGTCACAATCCCCAACGGTGCTCTACCCCACGCTCGCTATCCGGCGTGCAAGTCACCTCAATATAGCACCCTTTTCCTTTAATTCCCTTCCGTTGGAGCTATTGCTCCTTCGGTAACCCTGAAGTTGTCAAGGCAAGTGTACTTCAGAATACTAGAACTCTAGAAGGTACAGAGGTATTGCAGATTTATTTCTTGAGGAAACATGTGTGCATTATTGACGATTGAGAGTATAGCCTGTTGGCCAAGCTTCTCAAGAGGTCAAAAATATCTTTTTTTTTCCCTTCCTAAAAGCACTTTTTTCCCCTAACTTGAGGTGTTTGGTCAAGCATTTTGAGAAAAAAAGAAAGTAATTTTGGGAAGAAGCAGAAGCAGTTTCTGAGAAGCAGAAAAAAGTAGTTTCTTCCCAAAAGCAGAGCAGAAGCAGTTTTGACTTTTCTTCTTACTAAAACTACCCTTAACAAACTATAATATATACCAAAATAACTGTTAAACCTAATACTTAGGATATTAATGTATAAGTATTTCTCCTTATTTTTTGGATAGCTTTCTAATATATAATGACTTTAGGGGTGAAAAGATTTAATTATTGCCTGTAATAACAAAATTTTGAGATTATTTATTTACTTATAATATTAACTATTAAGTAAATCTATTCATGTCCTTATTCGTAATTTGATACTTAAAAGCACTTTCTGAAAAGCTTAGGCAAACACAAATTATTGCTCAAAAGTACTTTTCAAAGTGATTAGCCAAACGCAAACTATTTCTCTCCAAAAGTACTTCTAAAAAAATACTTCTTAAAATAAGCTGATTTCTCCAACTGGGCCAAACAGGCTATTAGAGTAGCAAACCAATTTTATTGCAAAAAAAGGAAAAGAGATAATTCGCACAACATTTTATATAAAATGTTTTAATGAAGACAAACACTAATTGGGAACTGACCAGAAATTAAAACCATTTTCAGGAAAAGAATAGTTCCTGGTTGGGGCAAACAGATTAAGGATATTTTTTGATTAGCATAAAATCGTGTAATTTGAACAGAAATTTTTTATAACTCACTCTTAACACATCTCTAGCTCCTTTCACTGCATTTGCGAGTTTATCATTTTTTTTCCATGAGTTCTTTAACATCCTCCACCCCAAAACACAGAGACTGAAAAAGAAGAGAGTACACCTGAATGGAAACAAAGAAGAAAACTATTTATAAAAATGATGATACATGTTCTACAAAGTTCCAAAATGGGGAACAAATCCTCCGAGGTATAATGTGAAAAAGGACAAATAATAATTCATAGAGTATGAAATCTAGGCCTTTTTGTTTATAATCAACCATCTGCTGCCTCCATTTTTCCTCACAAGAAAACCATCTCTAACCAAAGCCCCTGAACAAGGCTACACGGCATCAAAGGTGCTAGAAAGAATTTAAATGGACATAAATTAGTGAATTAGTTCTACCACCTCCTTCAGATCAGCAAGTTTGTAATAGGTGTCAAAAATATGAGCCCGGTATCTTTGATCTATCATGAGCTCAGCTGCAAATACTTCAAGAAACCTTTGCAACCATCCACAACGATTACCCTATCTCCAAAATATAATGATTGATAAGCTGGGCTAGAATATCAACCCATGTATCTGGAACACCTGGAAGGCACCAGTGCATACAGTCCTGACCCCAGACAGCCACCGCATCCTTTTTCCCCAACCAAATTGCAGGATGGGCATCTGCCCTGAACTCGCTCAAGTGAGTCAGATCGAGGATTCTGATATTTGAGCCTTTTAGAACCTCTTCAATGAGATGATTTAGTAGCCTTGCTTCTTTGTTAACCCCATTATATCTGGGATCAAACCACAGGTCAAGCTGTTCAGGTATCAGTAAGATTTTCTTCAGAGAACTTGTCATTACCTACTATTATTAACTTACTAGCACACAATAAGTCCCTACAATTCGTTAGGAAATGTAATTGTCCGGTAAATATGGAAAGAAAAAGCACTTATTGAAGGAAGTTAAATAAAAAACAGATTTACTTTCATACTTCTGTATGAACTGTCAGGGAAAATAAACTAAAAATGAGCTACATGAGATTAGGAAACAAATCGTCACTAAATGCTAACTATTTAGCAAATTATCCACGTCTTTTAACTTTCCTTGCATTAGGTTGGGACTAAGCAACACATTTTTCAAGTGATTCTTTCTTGGGAAGATAACTTGCAGTTTTCAAGTGATTATTTCAAAGCGCCACAGTAGCTAAACTGGTTTTATACTGGTAGTTCTAGAAAGAAAATTAGGGATCAAATCCCCCTAGCTGGTTCTTAAAATTATGACCAAAGAAACAATGCTGCTAAATGCAAATTGAAAGCTTTAGTAAACGTAAATGCCTGCACTCTCATATGCAAGGGACATTTCTATTAGTAGCTAACCAAGTAGATTACCTTCAAAAGTGGAAATCTCAAATTTACCAAAGGTGCTACATTTGCATACCTGAAGTTCATCAAGGGGTTCATCCACTGTACAACTACCATTTTGATTCCAGTCACCCCCCTGAAAGTGCCTTGGTGATTGCAAGCGCCAAAATTTAAGTGTTTTCCCTTGTAATTCTTTTTTTATGTAGGCAATCATATTCTCGAGAACAGCCTTTAGTCCATCAAACATCTCTAAGGGAGGTTGAATGGGTTGCCCTGACTTATAGAAAACAAGAGGTGTCTCTTTAGGAAATTTGTCAAAGCCCCACCTGGAAGATATCGATAAACATTAAAACCAAATGAGTCAGAGATAATATGTTCTTAATACCAGATTAGGTAAAAGAATTTGGAAGTCGTGCAATGAATACAGACACAAAGAGCAGAAGATGAAGACCCCCCTCCCCCCGGTGGGGCCCTCTTCGCCCAACAACAAAAAAATTAAAGAACCCAAAAATTGTAACCCTCATTGTTCCGGAACTAGATGTTATGCGTATACAGAATGACAAAAATCATATAGTAGTCTTTTAGTTGGTTTATTCTCAAACGTAGACGTAACCCATGCTGTGATTAACGGAATACTTTCTTCGAAGTTCGAACAGACAGAACTGGAATAATTTACAATGCAAAATTGCTACACACAACAAATTACCAGCTGATCGACCTAGCTCATCCTCCATTGGCACTTCAATTTCCTAATGTGATACACTCATATCCAAAAGAAGAAAGGTAAGATAACACTTCCCACTTAAGAAACATGTACATTTTTTACTTAATATGGCAGAATTTTAGGTTTTGGTAACACATTAATTTATAGTTTCGTTTTCTAGGATTAACTTGGGATGCCACTGAGGATAGGTAGAAGACTTTTATGCGTTTCAATAAAGTTTTAAACTTTTCAAGTTTCACTAGTGGTACAGGCAGGTTGTTAGCATCCAAAGGTGGATGAAGATTCCATCGATAGCGGGTGGTGTGTTTGCAAAGGTTGAGGGGCAGGTAGTTGATATTAATATTTTCGCCCAACAACCGACTGTCTTCCAATTTATTCTATTCTCTTACATATAATGTAAAAAAAAAACTTAAAATGAAAAAACAAAAGTGGCATTCAATTTGGAAGGAAGCAGTAATAGACATGTCAGCTAATGAGCTAAAACAACATCAAGGCACATGAAATTACCAGTGACCAGTGTTGAAGACTAGAACATCATAAAAGGCACCAATATGAGCCCAATCATCTGCTGGAATATCGACATCTACTCGATATATTCCCTTCAATCCATCTTGGTTGGAGTCGTCAAGCTGTTTTGGCTGCCACCTTATTTAATCAGTAATGAGCAAGTAAGGTTAATCTTTGCACTTGCTACTAAATTGAAACAGACTAAAAAGAGGAGTGTTACATAAATTGGGATAGAGGGAGTAACAAATCGTCAGTTGACAAGATAATGGAACAAAAGCCTAATATTTTTTCACTTGCTACTAAACAACACAGCCTACAACAACAAGCCAACAAATATAGTGCAAAATATAAACAAGGTAAAAGAAAAAATCAATGTACTCACTCATATTTCGCGAGCAAAACAGCACGGTGATAAGCCACGGTAACATTAAACTTTGGAAAATAAGCTCCTCTCCAAGCCCCCTTTCTCTTCCATTTCTTTGCACCAGAATCAGCCACTCTTAGTATACACAAAAAGGAAACCAAGAAATTCTCATTCAACGAATCTCCAATAAACCCAATATTCTTGTTCCTCATTAAACCCAAGAACTCAACCGGGTCGATCCGAGCCAAATCACACTTGTCGGGTACCCATTTCCATGAATTGATCCGACCCATGTTTTCCCTTTGGTTTCTGAGGCAGTTCCAGGCGTTCCTGTGAAACGGGCAGGACTCATCGTAAATGGGTTTGCGATTCGGGTCGCTGATCCACTTGCCTTTGAAGAGATTACAAGAGGGTGAGATGGGAATTTTGGGTTTTGGAGAAGTGGGAGTGTAAAGAGGAAGAAATAAAGAGTAGAGAGAAATGAGTAACAATGTTGGTAGAATAAGCCATGAGAAAAGCTTTGGGGTAAACTTGGACGCCATTTCTGATCTCCCCCAAACATGAATCAAACGTGACATAAATGAACCATTTCAAAATATGGGGTTCCTTTCAAATAAGAGGAGTTAATCGATATATTATTTGTAAGAAGTAAAAATAAAAAAATAAAACTGTAGTTTAACTACTTCTTTTTCCCTCCCAACTCCCAACTCCCGCCTAAATTATGTGATAATATTTACTCTTTAGGATTATATTGGGTATATTGTTATTGTTGTTGGTATTTACTCTTTAGTCTGATAAAGAAATGAAAGTTTATATATTAAATATAATTTACTTTAAAATTATTTATTTTACTGTTAATAAGATAATATATAACTAAATAAATATTTATAACTTGTTGTAGATCGTATGTTTCAAAATCTTTTTTTTTTCTTTCTTAAACTTTATGCTTAGTTTAATGTATTACTTTAACTATACTTTCCGATTATGAAATTCATGTTTTATAGGTTGGACTGGTCAATATCACTAGTTGTCAATACTCAAAGTACCTCTACAACTGTTACAAATGAAGAGAGCTAAGGAACCAGAATTACTAGCAAGAAGAAAAAGAATAGAAAACCAAAATTTACGTTGAAACCTTATAATATAAAAAATATTTGCAGCTGAGGAGATATTTTATTATGTCAAAACATAGTACAATAAAAATTGTTAAAATACTCCAAAAATATTTGACAGCAGAGAATGTCAAAACCAATGTAACAACTACTTATAACCAATCCAATGTACAAAATATATGGACAAAGCAATGATGCTTTTACCATGGGGGAGAGGTAAGAAATGAGCTTAGTGCTTTCTAATCTTTTTGTCCCGCTCGGTGCTTGCTTCTGTTTCAATATTTTAACAAAACAAGAATAATTTGCTTTTCCTTTTCCTTTTACTGGCAAATGCTTTCTCCAGTGAGTTGGTACATAATTTGGAAACTGGAACCTTTTGAGATAGAAAAAAAATAGGGAACCTTTTGGAGATAGTCATGTTAAACAGTTACTAATAAAAACATTGTCTTATTGTTGTTAATTTGAAACTGCTTCCAAGTAGTTATGTGTCCTTTGTCCAGATACGAAACTTGCTATTTCGCATTAATGATTAGCTATTTGGTGTTAGTTTGCAGAACTTATTGTGTTTGTATCTGGGTTGCAAGCTGCCCCTGCTCTTGCTTTTTATTGCTGACGAACTCACAATAATCTCTAAAAGAGAATACTCTTGAATAGCTATTTCTCTGCCTCTTTTAGCCCCTAAGGAATTATCTTATGGATTATACTTTTCCAATTGGTGGAACTCTTTGCAATAGTTGTTTTGATGACAACTAAAAACCATATTGGCAAGTTTGCCCCAGTTATACTGTCCATTTCTTCAAATGATTTTTGCTTAAGCTTGCAAGTAACAGATTTGATACTGACACCACCTCTTTGTTTTGCACTCATTTCACCGCATGCCTTCTGGGGCTAATGTATTGGATGAGGCTGCAGATGAGAAAGTTGCAGGGGAAGAAAGTGTTTATTCTGTTGGTAAATAATAAATGTCACAAATATTGGTTTCTATTTAAGTACCCAGCGTAGCAGAGAATACGTATCAGCTTAATAGTCTTCATGCAAACATATCGACATTCACCGGTATTTGGGTTCTGTTTGCTTTTCCAATGGCTCTATTGAGGATACTAGCCAAAACTTGCTGAAGAGGAACACTACGAAATAGAAGGGGAAGGTGGCCGTTACTTCTGCTGGAGAAATATCAGCATTATTTCATTATGTGGTACCTCAAACTCGGTACAGTCAGTTTCAAGATCATTTTGAAAAAGACAAAAGTTTCAAGTTCATTGTTTCTGTAAATCACCAAAAGCCGGATAAATAAATCCACGTTTCATGACTCGTGTTACCATTATCCTGAGCTTCCAAGGCCATAAGCTTGATTTCTAGTTCCCTTTCAAAATGTCATGAAATTGCAGTGGTTTCTTCTTGGGCTCAGCACAAGTTTCCTGAAAAAGAGGAAGTAAAATACGTTGGTACTGCAGTCATTTCTGCATAGGAATCACTGTTCCAAGCTTTGAATGATCATGATCGCTCTCAATTACCTCAATGGCAGCAGCCAAGCGCAAAATGGAAGCTTCACACCAGGGTCGGCCTATGAGTTGGATACCTATGGGAAGCCCTTGCTTGTCATAACCAACCTGAGCATGCAACTCGTTATGAGATGGTGATTATCACCATTGTTATAACAGGTGAAACTAGGCTCACCTCATTCAAATCCTACATTATGGATTGATATGCTTCTGGAGGATAAAGCATTTTTTGGGGATAAGTGGAGAGAATAAAGCCAAATTTGAACCATTTTTTTCTATTTTCACACAAACCCCTCCCGTAAACCAATGAAACAATCCATGAGGTTCAAGAGAGTACCATCCCTGAATGACCATTGGTCAACTAACCACCCTGGATAGAGGAGAAATAACTTACAGGGACAGAAACTGCAGGAAGTCCGAGAAGATTTGCTGCTATAATAAACCGCATAAGATTTCCTGATAAAAGAATATATAAATACGAATCTAACCTGTAACTGCAAAACAGTAAGCTGTCCAAGAAAATAGTAGATAAACAGCAGGACAATTTCTACTAGCTCTATAGTTGATAATATCTTGAAACAGATCGAGTGTAGGAAAAAACCTGAAACTTGCAAATCAGTCTCCCCAACATTAAGAGCACTTGGTGGAATTCTGGGCGCTGTCATGCTGAAAAAGAAGTTCCACAGATGGTTTTAGGAATATACAGAACTATGAACTGCCTATGCACACAATCTCAGGATGTCATATATCAAAATTGACATGAATCAATGAACCAATCTCCTTCCTACACATCCTTGACTTGCCATTTAATGTTTTAGGCATCTATGTGACCAAGTCAGTCACGTGACCGCTTCATTGCTAAGAATATTATCTCAGGTACAGAAGTCCCACCAACCAAAAGAAGTGGGAAAAACGAAAAACGAGCATGACAAAATAAACAGGGAAATAGTTTGAAAAGCTAGGGATGAGTGATTAAATGCGTGCACATGAAAATGTGGGAAAATACGTTACTAGAATACTATTAGCCTTGGTGAAAGATGTGAAAGATAATTCTGCAAATTTTGGAGGCTTCTCTTGGCCTACCCGGTTGTAGGTGTCACAATGATATCCACCTTCTTGAAAATCTCCAAATGGAAATACATTATCCTCCGCCTGCAACAACCCAGAGAAGAGTTATGTCTGAATCATATTATTTGTACTTCTCAAAGATTGCATTTCTTCTTACATCTGTTAGAAAATATAAATGCATATGATATTAATTGAAAGGGTTAGTAGTACAGAGTATATGCGCAAGCAAAGCATAAAACATCAGACATAACTAGTGATCAGTATGTTAGAGAAAGACAGACATAACCAGTGAACAGTATAGAAATTATTCATCATCCCATCATGATGATTGTATGAAACATTTACTTTCAGGATATTAACTACTCCATCATATGTCTTACCAATCATATGCTTGGTTTGGAGTGTATCTGACTTCTTTGAACAAAATCCTTGTTTAGGTTTCCAAAGTTATCAACTTAACAGTTTTGGCAAATAACAAAGTGCAAAATCCAACAGTAAGCTACAAGTATTGACATTTTCGGTAATTTCAGATGCCACGGTATTCTAGACCATGACACAGTTCGATTCTGAAATAAATTCATGACCAGAGGTTTATATTGATTTTCGTTAGCTAGCTTGAAAAAGAATATATCTCACCTAAGTCGCTGAGCAGCAACATAATCTGCTGCTGTAAATGAACGGAAAAGTGCCAGATTGGTGCGAGTATCATATGTCAATCTTGGTCCTTTCCTGGAGACAAAGGGTAGAAAACAGATAATTAAGATAATATCAGGAAACAATTTTAGGAATAAGACATCGAGATCTAGTAAGAAGCAATGTGATGTATAAAATATCCAAAGCTAGAGTGTGTACCCATCTTCACAGTCTGGATTCATGCTGCATAAACATTCAGACCCGATAGAAACAATATGAGCTGTCCGCATCTCATGCAACTCTGGTATTACAATCTCTACCGTCTTCAACCATGAGATAAAGAAAAATATCAGAAACATTTTACAAACATGTAGAAAATAGTTACTTACAATACTGATGCTAATGGTTCCGGCAATCCTAAACCAAAAGCTAGCAAATGTACGTGCCAAAGTCCAAGATAAAGCTTTGAAGAATGGAATAATAGAAGTAGACTTACTTTGCATCCATGCTTTTCAGATAGTCGACTAAGAACATTCTCACACTTGTCAGAAATATCAACTGAGAATACATCATTAAACCACTGCAAGAGTAGGTTGCTATGAGTTTATCAAAAGAAATAACCAAAAAAATTTCGGTAAAAAAAAGTATACTTACCTCTGTATATTTTCCAAGGCGCAGTGATTCCAAAGATTGTGAGCTCTGTTGTGAAGATAAATCAGGTACACAAGGGAGGTTCTGAAAGAAATAGAGAGAGATGATTAAATTAAAGAAACAGAACTTCTGATCCACAGTGATGTCCAAACTCAATTAGATAAAATCTAAAATCTTCTTGCAAGATATAAACTAAGAACACAGCTCATAGATGTTTTCAATGAAAAGGTAAAGGTTTTAGTGAAAAGTACCAAGGAGGTACACAAAAAAGTACATCAGAGAAGGAAGAAAGATGCCTTCCTTCTATATGTCAAAGGAATACAATAAGTCTATCAGAGAATCTATGTCAGTTACAGTATTCCTCTACTCCATAGATAAAGACTTCTCAAACATCTACATTTTACAACTGATATACTATCCTTCCCCTCGAGCCAAATATTCCAGAAAATGCACACAGGAAATAGCATTCCAGAACTGCCTGTTGCCAGTGAAAGAGGATTGTCCAATCCATCTTCTTAAAGCTTTATTAATGCAACCTGGCATGGTCCATAGATGTTCTAAGCCTGTATGTGATGTTTCAGGTTATCCTGTCTACTGGAAAGGTACTTTAAGAAGTAATACAATAAAGAAACAAGACGAAAGCAGAATGGCCAAGCAAAATACAGAGTTTAAGAATAAAGAAGATAATTAAGCATTCTTTAATGATTCACTGATTACCGGTCTCAAAGAGATTCTATAAACAGGAGAGGATCCCAAAATTGCTGCATACCTGATAAGTAATGGATAAGATCAAATCACTGCAATTTCCTAGAATCTTCGATTCTAATTTTATCTAAAACAAAAGTGAGATCAATAAATCTAGTAAATCAAGTACTTGTACAGTGGAAAATGAAAACTACATTAACAAGTCCAGGAAGACTCAACTTGACAAGTTCTCTGGCATACTTGACAAAAACACAACACCAGACTAAAATATCTAAATCTTCCTACTTTCTTTGAATCTATAGGAAAAGGAAATAGTTTTTCCTATCTTCTTTTGATAATTCAGCTGTGTTTATGAAATGCACTTAAAGGAGTCATTTACATCCTAATGGTAGTGTAAAGTGCGTCTTCTTTTTCGCCTGACAAGTTAGGTTGCTCCAGGGGCAAGAGCACCAACCACAGCGTTGGGATTGGGAGTTCGAGTCATCAAGGAAATGAAGTGGAAAAGAGCCACGTTGATTTCTGAGCAGGGGATTGGGGAGCGGGTTTTACCTTATCAAACCTTATAACTATTTTCTTTTCTTTCCCATTTCCTCAGTGTGTGTATGTATGCTGTGCGCTGCACAAATTAAGATGTGTATGATGAAATTGTAGTAGTTTGTTAACAGTCAATTGCTTTAGTTGGAGAAACTCTTAAAGCTGTGTAGCATTACCCCATCTGTAGTTTGAATTTTCAACTTGCATACTCCTTAAAGCTCTATCTTTCTCATTTCCTTGCCTCAATATAAAGATTCATTTAGTTTGTCCTTTACCATCACGCTTACTAGATGGGGCAAGCAGATTTGTAGGCCAGCTAATTTCAACACAAATTTCATGTATTTGGTAGTCCAAATAATAAGCAGATTACTACAGTTAAAGATTAAGCATATTTCCATTATTCAAACTTATGACGGCTTACACAAGTATGGTGTCCTCAACTGTTGCAGTGATTGGTCCGATTACTTCCACTGTTCCAGCACCACACAGTGACCTGGAAAAATAAAAGAGTACTACAGTGAATCTGCCCCATCCTGGAAAGACACTTTTCTCCCTTTACATGTAAAAGAAACCACTAAGAACACCATAAAGACATGAAGGAATGTCTATGCGCCCAAAACTGACTTATAATAAGAAGGTACAAGAGATAACAGGTTTGATTTTATTAAATTTACTAAGCATAAGTGGAAATCACTAATCAGTTCACCAGAGTCAGCTGCAAGTGGATACTTTCTTTCTTTCTTTTTTCTTCTGTTTTTCATGATACACAAGTAGTTATTAGTGGAGATTCCAAGTTATGAAAAATCACAACGGATTTGTTGTGTCATTGTTAATCGCTTGGAGTGTTGATTCTTTTTCTGATATGTTTGGAGGCTTTTTCCGAACTAAAATTGTGCATTAAGCCCTATAAGCACCAAAATCAGTCGCAACTTATGGAACTTCACTGAGTTCAGTTAAGTCCTTTAAAAACTAAGCACTCCAACAGGAATTCTTGCGATCAGCCAGCAGTAATTTCAAGCTCCATATCAATATTTTCTTTGAATGTTTACACTAATAAAAAGTATGCAGATATCTAAAGTTTCATATTCAGTTCTTTACCCTGATAACTAAAGTTTTATAAACCATTCTTGATAAATAAAGTTTCATATTCCATTCTTTTACATAGGCAAGCAACCTATGAGATGCTACATCAAAGAATGTTTCTTAAAAAGTATCCTTACTAGAATTATAAAGATTTGAATTGATATTAATGTAGCAAGACAGAAAGCAGCATAACATATGATCATAATACCATCATTTGATTGGATGATCATAATACCATCTTTCAAGATACTGGAATAGTGTTATTGTGAAAAAGCACGAACTCTTAACTCATACAACGATCTGGAGAAATAATCAATCCAATTGAGATGGTCTATATCACTACATCTAGAAGGTCGAAGTAGGTCTTAAACAAATGTCTACACATGCATATATGAACCACATGCTCTTAAATGAAGATACAGACGTAAATGCAAGAGAAAATGATGGTTGACAAAAGAGAAAAGGGAATAATGGCTATACAGTTGGAAGATCTGTTAGGGGGAAAAGCAGATCATAAGACACATGTACAACTGTGTGACAAGCTCACCCTTCCATGTCAATTCGACCATATGTTGACTTCAAGCCCACAACACCACAAAGGGAAGAAGGAATTCGAATTGAACCTGTCCTTACACATTAAATCAAGCATCAATAAACATACTGGTTTTATGAAGATTGAATATGTGGATTCTTGAGTGTGACATGGTGTAGGTGTACAACCTCCTCCGTCCGTCCCCAAAGCAGCGGAACACAGTCCTGAAGCCACAATAGCTGCAGGGCCTGAGGAAGACCCTCCTGTATACCTATCGGGATCATGTGGGTTTCTTGTAGTCCTGTCACAAAGATATTTTTAACTCAGGAATGTTATAGGGTAGAGAAGACTATGTTCGCAACAATTAATGTACAGCTCTTGAGTTTCCCGCCTCAGGATATACTGCAAAGGAAGTCTATGAAGCTGGTGTTACATTTAAAAAAGAAAGGAAATGTCTGAGGACTGCCTTAGAAAGGGTCAAATGCAATTCAACATTTCGCGTACACAAAGACTTTCTACAAAAAGAGCATATAATGAACACCAAGAACAATTTAACTTTGTCATTTGTAGCTTCTAGGCAGCACATACCCATAGTTTGCGTTATTTCCAGTAGTACCCATGCCCAACTCATGCATGTTTGCCTTTCCAACCAAAATTGCACCGCAACTTCGTAATCTCGACACAGAAACAGCATCCTTCTTTACCTCACGAACCTCATGCATCCATGTTGTTGCTCCTGTTTGCATCAAGTATATAACTAAATCTGGCAATAGGGCTTGGTCAGCAGATGAAAACTAAAATACATACCCTTCGAAGGGTGAGGATAGCAATCAATATCATCCTTGATTGCCATGAAAATCCCATCCAAGATTGACAGTGGATTCCCTGCTTATTTGCCAGTCAGAAAAGTATTATTCTGACAAAGCATAGATTGCAAGTATATAAATTATGGAGTATTATTCACTTACAGTTCGACGATGTGTACAGCGCTAGAAACATGTAAATATCAAAATACCTTGTTCAAATCTTTGTGTAGAAGCAGCAGCTTGCTTTCTCACTTCGTCTGGGTCAAAAGAAATTAACAGTGGTGCTGGGGGCTTCTTATTGTTGAACTCCTCAATGGCTGAGATGAAGCGCTCTGCAACCTGTAACACAGGGAATAACCTCTTTAATCCTAGAGACCATACGAAAGAAACAAAACCAAGCAACCACAGAAGTGCCTTGCCATAGATGGAGTAGTAAACTTAGATCTGTATGCATATGCATAATCACGAATCTTCCAATAGCGGAATGATGCAGTTGAATCACCGCTCCAATTGCTAGATGGATCATATTCTGGAAGACACTTTAAGGCTAGCTCAACTCGCTCTTCAGGCTTTCCGTCTTCTTCCAGGTCGACAACTTCAAGTTCTGGCTCTAAAGTCAGGAAATACAAGCCGAATTAGTGCCAAGTATACAGCACTTCTGTATCATGGCTAGGTCACCATGGACATTTGATGAAAGGTCCCACATTTTTATCTTACTATATGTGTGTGCACACGCGCATGTGTTTGTATGCACATATACATCTTCTGCATCCATGCTGATGCCATCAATTTTAACAAGTTTTATCATCACCGATATGATTATGGAAGATCTCACTATTTTGTAACTGCTGATGCACTGCCTTACAATTGGAGTAGCCCCAACTTCCACGATTAGGAAGAAAGAAGAAATGCAAATGTTCATCAAGATCACACAATTTTAACAAGTTTTATAATAACCAATATGATTATGGAAGATCTCACTATTTTGTTACTGCTGCACTGCCTTACAGTTACAGTTTTACAACAGCGGTGTCCTGACCAACTTGCGCATACCTACTAAGCCACCATGTAATTGCTACATCCTACTAGCATAGGAAAATTCACATAATGTCACATTTGTTTCAATGAAGAGAACATTTTACAACTAAAAAAAGGAAACAACAAATAACACATTGACCGTTTAAATTATGTATCGTTCCTTTTGGTCCTTTTAATGATTACTTGTAAAGCAGCTCATTTACGTGAAAACCAGAGTCTAAGTCCAGCAATATCGAGTGAGGATAAAGAACTGTTTTTCTATTTCATTTCTAAGTTCTAACAGAAATATTTAAATTCAAATAGATCGAGAGACAGAATGGACATCTTAGAGCAAGAGTGAACCTTGAGGAGGAAATTCGGGTTTAAACATAGGAATCTCCGGTATGACGGTGTATCTCAACATCTGTCAATCATGAATACATATATTCTTCAGTCTTTAATTAACCATTTCATGTATACTCACAATAGGAAGTATATATATATTGCACATAAATACAAAAAGTTACGAATTGAACCTCATTAATTTTGTTTTCATTCTTGAGGTGATTCATAATCAAAGATCCAATAACCGGTGCTTCAATCAGCTTCACGAAAAACTTGAACCAGGCACCAGTCAAATGTGGAGCTGCACAAAAAAGATAAAAAAAAATAAAAATTGCACATTTCAATACTAAAAACAATACAAAAGGCAATCAAATACTAGTACTAGTATAATATCACATGGAAATTAAACCTTGAATATTTTCCGGTATGTACTTCACCGCTGTCAAATCAACTTCACTCGCCGGTAACATCACTTGTTTCTTCCCCATTTCTAAATCTAACAAAAATTCACCACATTCATCACTTAGAAAATAAAAAAAGAGAAAATCAAAATTCAAAAAGCTTAAATCTTTACGGAAGTTTCTAGAACTGATCAAATTTCACACCTCGCAGACGTCGGAATTCACAAAGCTTAAAAAAATGCAATCAGCAAGTATGAAAGCTTGTTACCGGCCGCCGAACAGTGGTTAATAATAAAGTGCGCAGTGGGCGCACGTTTAATTGTATTGGTTAAAGAACTAGAGTAGTACTACTTTAGATTGGTCCAAAGAAAATTGGTGAGAACAGTAAACACAGAGGCGTAGGATAGTAGAAATATACTCCTATAGGATATGGATATCGTATTGGATTGGATTATCCAATTGTGAATTTCAAAGAGTTGGAGGCTTCCGTAAGAATCTCAAAACGCGGGCGCGGCAGTTTAACGATAACAGGGACGATCATTTCTATGATATTGATATGCTTCTGTTTTTATTGGTTTGACCTTTCCTACGACCGATAATGACATTTTGTGCCCACTAAGGGGCTATTTGGTTCGGGATTAGGTTAATATATTTAGTATTTGATTAAAAAGTAGTATTAGCTAAAGTTATATTATTTTTATATCAAAATCTTGAAATAAATTATATTGCATGTAAAGTTTGAACAGTTGACCTACTTTAGGTGAGTTAAATTGAATTGAATTACATTACTCACGTCAAAATAGGAGGTTAATTTACCACTCTAGGCTCTTGATTCAAACGTTACATCCATTAATAGACCTACCGAAATGCTATTGGCATTCAATTAGCACCAGCGAAATTCAAAAATAGCCAGATTTATAACTGGTCGTTCAAAAATAGCCCAGTTTCAAAAGTAATCGATATTTAGCCATTTTTCATGTAAAAATAAATCTGAGCGAAAACACCGTTCAAAACCCGGAAAATACGCCAGCATATTATGCTGGAGTTCCGGCATAAGTATACTTGAACTCCAGCATATTATACTGGAGTTCCAAGATAAGTATGCTGGAACTCCAGCATAATATGATGGAGTTCCAGCATAAGTACACTAGAACTCCAGCATAATATACTAGAGTTCCAGCAAGTATATCGGTCCAGCATAATATAGTGGAGTTTGGAGCATCGATGCTCCAGTCTCCAGTATATTATACTGGAGCAAGCAAAGTATACCGGTCCAGCATAATATGCTGGAGTTCATACACAGGTGCACCAAACTCCAGTATATTATGCTGGACCGGTCTCTGCTGCAGCAAAATAGTGGCTATTTTTTATTGACTTGGTAAATGCTGGCTATTTTTGAATGACCAGTCCGAAAACAGGCTATACCGTACTATTTTAACACTAATTTGGTTGGCAATTAAAGCGGTTTAAAGTCCATTTTTTTCTTGAAAAGTATTAGGCCTTCTGCTCATTTTTACTTGTCCATATATATACTATCTCTGTTCACTTTTACTTATCCAATATTTTAAAATAGATTTTCACTTTTACTTGTCACTTTTAGCATATCAAGAAAGATAATTGTTTCCCCCTATAATACCCAGAGTATTAATTACTCATTTCAAATCATTTTTTGCAATCCATTAAAAATATGCATCAATTAATATGGGTATCATGGTAAATTATGCACTTCATTTATTATTTCTTAACGGATATATATATATGGGGTTTCTTACTTTTTTCCTTCTTCTAGTTACACAATTCCCATCAATACCACATGACTGTATGTTTTGGTGGTACATTGTAGTTTATTGGCTTATCGGTATCGGGTTATCGGATTAACAGTTGGTGAACGAATTGAAATTTTATTATTAACGGTTTACCGATTCGGGGACGGATTACTCAATTTCCTTATCGGATAAATCATTAAGCCGTTAAAAATTATTATATTTATATTTTTACCCATTATGAAGCAACTTCTTAGCAGCTTGAGCTTCAACATCATCATAACTTGTTTTTGGGGTAGGATTAGGCAGATCTAGATAATTCTTGATACCTTCCTGCTCAAATAAATCATTTAACTTAGAAACTGAAGCAAAATTATATTCACAATTTTATATTAACTGAAATCTATTATTGGTTAGGGATCCCCAATTTGTATTTTAGCTTGCTTATTTGTAAAAAAATTAAAGAAGAAGAAACTGCCATTAACAATAAGAGCTTCATTAACCTACTTGAGTGTGGTTGTGATTGGATCGTCTATCTATTATTTACTCCCAAAAGCTTGATTTTTATTTGCTGTGGTTTCCTATTCCTTTTTAATCTTTCCTCCAAAGTCCAAAGTAGTCTGATATAGCTTTGACTAGGAGTACAAACTTTGACAGCTCCCCTGTGAAACTAAGGTCAATTGGAAATCTCATTTCCACATTAGAGGAAGGATACGTTTCTGCAGTCACTAGGAGATGTAACTAGGAACATAACTAGGAACCTCATGACAGAATGCCCCTAGTTTAGCATATGAGCAAGACTTTTTGGCAAGAATAGTTATGTTTTAATTAGGAACAACAGAATTACAGCAAATGAACCACTTCACAGTTTCGTGAGTTCTGAAATCGCCAATGCATGAGAGCCATCATCAGTATGTAAATTGAGAACCTAAACTTCACAACTGGTTCCCTTTCAAAATATCATAAAACTGCACCGGCTTCTTCTTTGGCCCAGCACAAGTTTCCTGAAAAGTTACATATCGACTATTACAGTGCCAAACATAGATCTACGTACCAAGTGGCATTGAGGTCTATATGGTGTCATCTGTTTCAAGAAAATGGTCCGTGACTCGTTTTGTTGGAAGGGTAGCCATACCTCTATGGCAGCCGCCAAGCGCAAAATGGATGCTTCGCACCATGGACGCCCAATGAGCTGCATACCTATAGGAAGTCCTTGCTTGTCATAGCCAACCTGAGCATACAAGATTCCAACAAAAATATGAAACAGTTGGAGATATAATTGACACCGCCATCTCTAGTAGTTTCCACAAGGTGAATGATTTAATATAAATTAATCTCCTCAGGTATTACCAAGTACCATGGGTTCAGCATAAAACGTTAGAACAATTTAAACTATGTTGCTCGGACTCTCCGAAAACGTGGCCGGATACGTGTCGGATCCTCCAAAAGTAGTGTATTTTTGAAGGATCCGACACGGGTGCGGCTACATTTTGGTGAGTCTGCGCAACATAGATTTAAACAATTGTGTTTACNCCGAGTCGTGCCGTCGACCACTACGATTAACAATTGTGTTTACAGTTTGAATGCCGGGACGTTCGATTACGGAAGCTATTCATCTTGTTAGGAGATTGATGGAGCAGTATAGGAAGAGGAAGAGGGATTTGCATATGGTGTTCATCGACTTAGAGAAGGCTTATGATAAAGTCCCGAGGGAGGTTCTATGGAGATGTTTGGAGGCTAGAGGTGTTCCTGTAGCATACATTAGAGCTATTAAGAACATGCATGATGGTGCTAAGACTTGGGTGGGGACAGTGGGAGGAGACTCGGAAGACTTCCCAGTTGTGATGCGGCTGCATCAGGGGTCAGCCCTCAGCCCATTTTTATTTGCCTCGGCGTGACGTGCCACATTAAAAGAGAGGGGTCATGTTGTATGTTATTTGTAGATGACATTGTACTGATAGACAAGACGCGAGGTTAGAGGTTTGGAGGCAGACCCTGGAGTCTAAAAGTTTCAAGTTGAGCAGGATCAAGACAGAATACCTGGAGTGCAAGTTCAGTGGAGCGACTCATGAAGTGGACGAAGACGTGAGGCTTGATTCACAAGTCATCCCTAGGAGGGATAGTTTCAAGTACCTTGGGCCAATTATACAAGGGAACGGGGAGATTGACGAGGATGTTACACATCGTATTGGGGCGGGGTGGACGAAATGGACGCTCGCTTCCGGTGTTCTATGTGATAAGGATGTGCCACTAAAACATAAAGGTAAGTTATGTGGAAGACAAGATGCGGGAAGCGAGACTTAAATGGTTCGGGCATGTGAAAAGGAGAAGCATAGATGCCCCAGAAAAGAGGTGTGAGAGGTTGGTCTTGGAGGGCCTAAGGAGAGATAGAGGTAGGCCGAAGAAGTATTGGAGAGAGCTGACTAGGCAAGACATGGCGATTCTCCAGCTTACCGAGGACATTACTCTTTACCCTAGATAGGAGAAGGTGTGAAGGTCGAGAATTAAGGTAGTAGGCTAGGTAGCCGAGCATTGTCCTTGCTCGTTCTGGTAGTTTTAATGCATTCCTCAGTGTTAGTCTTGTATTTTCTTACTATCAATTTTCTGTTATTGCTTATTGTTTCTTTCGCTTCGGTTTTCTGTTTGCTTTGTCGGTGTTGTTGCTTGCTGTTACTCCTTACTCTCTATCTTTCTCGAGCCGAGGGTGTTCCGAAAACAGCCTCTCTACCTTCTTTAGAAAGGGGTAAGGTTTGCGTACATTCTACTCTCCCCGGACCCCATTAGTGGGATTACACTGGTTTTTTGTTGTTGTTGTTGTATTTACGGTTTGAGTTTTGGAAAAGGTAAATGTACGAGCTCTTCTAATGCAATTTTTATTTCCAGTTTAAAATTAGCATTCTTCCAGGACAAAAAACAAATTCAAATTCTGCATAGTTTTGCTCTTCATCCATTGACTAGGTGTAGGCTAGTAACTCCTAACCTGTCCAACATCAGAAAGGTTTTCTTGGCAGGATCCCACACTAAACAAGATTATCTATGTAGAACTGCACTACGCCACCTTAAAACCAGAAACAGAGCCATTTGAATATGTCATGTTTCAAATTCTTAGGACTTATGAAATGAGTCCTTTTCACTATAAAAGAAAAGAATTTAATTGCTAATTCATCTTTATGACGTTAACAATCTCTGGGGATATGTTTCTACCTTTTTAATTGATTTTGATAAGGGGTTTACACACTTTTCCATTTGTGGTACCCATTAAACCAAGTAAACTAAGAGCAGATAATATTGTAATTTTTAAATGTAAAGGGTATCCAGACTGGGTACGAAATTTAGTATGCCTCAGACAATGTTCTTTCTATTCCATCGAGTTAATTTTTCGGAATCTTTAGTTAGTCTAAATTTCAAGTACAAAGGAGAAAGATGCTATGCTTACAGGCACAGAAATTGCAGGAAAGCCCAGAAGATTTCCTGCTAATACGAACCGCATAAGATTTCCTGGAAGAGAGTGTGAGAGCAAGAACCAACATAAGATTGTAAAGTAGTACACCTATATAAAGGAATAAACTTTTTATTAAACAAAAGAAGAAGAAATTAGCAACTAACTGTATTTCAAGAAATTCACACAGGTACCACAGTTAAGAATATCTTAAAAAGAGGATCATCCTTCTTATATCAGTACATGCAAGGACATGAGAAGTTATCCAGTTGTAAGATTACTTCACTCCAACCAAAAGGTTTAGAGTTCGAACCGCCAAGGGAAAAGTAGGATAAACCACTGCTGTCCGGGGGAGGAGGGGAGGTTTGGGGGTCTGGAGTTTAACAGTCAGAAGAAAAAAAAATAGTGTGTGCCACCA